TCCCCTGGCCCGCCCCCCCCCCCCCCCGCCCCCCCACTTCCCTGCCTTCTCATCCTTGCTTGGCTTTTTTTTTTTAAAATCAGTGCTCCTCCTCAGAGTTCCTCCAAGCTGAATGCACTTCAGTGGTGAGATGCAGAAGCTCAGTAACTCCGTGTCTGTGAGTGTGTGTGTGTGTGGGGGGGGGGGGGGGGGGGGGGGGGAAAAGAGGGGAAGAGAAAAAAGAGGGGGGGGGGGGGGGGGGGGGGGGGGGGGGGGGGGGAGGGTGATGACAGGGATATGGGCAGAGAAGCTGGAAAGTGAGCAGTGAGGAAGGGAAAGACCACCAGATGGCTTTGATTATCTAAACATGGACCCTGGAGAAGTGATCTAAAAGCCACAAAGGAAACAGCCTCAGTGGTCAGTTTACTGAGGCAGGAGATTAGTGGTAGATTAACTCCTGGGGTGCCTAGGCAGCCTAGGGCACATTTAAGGCAAGGATCATTCCCAGAACTGAATAGAAGGAGCTATTACCTCCTTCTCACCTCACTGTGCAACAACAAAACAGACTGACAGCTCAGAGTTTCTGGCGAGTCATGCATAAAATGTATGGAAAGGCTCTTTTTAAAGCCTTCCCCCAGTGCAGCAGTTCCAGTGAGCCTAGGCCCTAGCCAGGAGCAGAGCTCCAGCTGGTGGCTGCAGGAGACAGAGCTCTGTCTACAGCAGTGGTCCTCAACCTGAGGGCTATGACCCCCACAGGGTCACATAGCAAATATCTGCATTACGATTCATAACAGGAGCAAAATTACAGTTATGAAGTAGCAACAAGATAATTTTATGTTTGGGGGCCACCATAACATGAGAAACTGTACTAAAGGATGGAAGCATTAGGAAGGTTGAGAAGCACTGACTGGTTCAACCTCCAGGAGCAAGGAACAACTGGAAGAACACAGGGCAGACGCTGAAACTGAGGAAAGTGCTGAGTGAAACATTTTATTTTCCTTACGATTTCCTCACCAAACACCATGTAGCCGCAGAGAACTGCCACAGAAGGGAAAGGACAGAGAGACTTTGTGTTCGGTGCCAGAGTGTGGAGGCCAACAGGAGGTCAGGCAGAAAGCACAGGAAAGGATCTCAGAGGACTTCCTGGAAGAGTTAACATTGGCACTGTCCTTAAAGGGCAATGCTTGCTAGGTACAGATGGAAGGGGCATGAAGGGAAACTATGTAAGGGCTCCAAAGCAAAAACAGCATGGTGTACTGGAGAGATAGGCAGAGCCCATTATGACCAGAACACAGGGGTGGGGATAAAGGCTTGACCATGAAGAAGGCTAGAGCATTTGCCCTGGGGTCCATCCAGGATCCTTAAAAGGTCTTCCAGGAAAGAGGCACAGCCAGTAGCGTACTTAGAAAGATGGCTCTGAACCCCAACGAGTGCTTTGGATTCTGAGCTTGCTTATTAACCACCTCCAAAATGCAACTAGGCTGGGGGATCTGCAGCTAGGGCCTCTATGGAGGTACAGTTGGCTAGCACTGTTGCCTTTATCTCCAGAATCCTGCACAGAAGGTGTGCACCACACAAGACTGGACCCTGGCACACAGTTACACACACAAAAGGCACAGGGCCTGAAAGACAGAAGCATGAGGGTGCTTTTGTCACTCTGGCGAGGATAGGGAAGGGTTCTGGTGTCAACAAGCTTTCCACATTCACTTAGGCCCCTTTCTCACCACAGCTAACTCAAGTTCAAGTTTTATGCCTGATGTTTTTAGATTTTGATGTTCCAAGAGCTAAAGCCTGAATGCTTTATGGGGGGCTCAACTTTGGTTTCCCCAGCAAGCAAGCAATAGAAAAGGGAAAAAAGAGCAAATTTTAACCAAGGAAGAAAAACCGCACACTTACCCTATCGACCTTCATGATTTGAAACCTCTGGGAAATGTCGGCGGTGTTGGCGGGCAGGCGGGAGCGCCCAGACACAAAGCGCATGAAGAGCACCCTCTCCTCATTGGAGAACTCCTCCAGCGTGCGCCAGAGCCACTGCACCAGCTGGTGTTGCTCGTCCACCTCGCGGTAGCGCACGACCTTCTTCAGGACTTCCACACAGATCTCAGGCATCCCACACACCATCTGCTCCAGCTGCTTGGCCGTGAGGAGGGACAGCAATGGCACAGGGACAATCCAGGACATCCCTTCTCGAACTGCAGCCACCTGTTTGCAGGAAAGGTCGCTGGTTTTAACGCACATTTGTTCCTGTAGACATGCATCAGGAGCACACCCTGGCTACCCTGGCCTGAGGTCTGTGGCCAGGGCTACCCTGGCCTGAGTCCCCTCCTGCTCTGGAATGCTTATACTCCTCCTTGTCTTAATCCAAACTCCATGTAGCCTGCTTTCTCCCTGCACAAAATTTTAGTGATTGGGGTCCTCTTCAGGAGGCACCCACTCACGTTCACATGCATCTATGCGCAGTTTGTGTGCTGTGTGGGTGCTCCATCTCCTCATCCAAGTAGGCAGCTCTTGAGGACTGGTATGGAAAAGATGGCTATTCTTGTGAAAACTGTCCATTTTTGGAAAGCACGAAGAATATATAATAGAATGTCAATAAAGGCAAAGGATTTAGTAAGGGCATTGAATTCTAAGTCTGGGATCTACCACTTACTATGATTTAAATTTTCTCACATGAAAAAGGTATTGTTCACCATGAGTAATGACAAGATGACCTGGGTGATATCACGATTATTCACAATCACCCTGCACAAGGCAGCTGGGCAGCTGGAGAATGAAGGAGGAATCCAGTCCTTTGCTCAGAAGCCCCTGTGATACAAGAGGGCAACCCTCCCTCGATACTTCTCTCTAGGCCCACTGAAACTATCTCTGCTAAAAAAGGAAACTATGCCCCAGAAGAGGAGCTACACCTGGGAAAGGCCCTGGGAGTACCGGGTGCTGTGCCTGGGCTGAGGGAAGGACTGCCAATAGCATCCCCAAGGTACTACACACAGAGTGTCCACACACAGAGTGTCAAAACCAACCTATGAAGGCCAGTA